TCACCCTATATGGATAATAAAGATAATAATTGAAATTGTCTTGATATGCATTTGTTCAGCAAAAAGCCTCATAAAGGACATGATTACAACATCATTCTAGAATAACCTATCGGTTAGATGACAATTGCTGAGTGTTGGTGCAAGGTAATGAAGTGGGAGAAGAAGAATGAACAAAAATGATAACAAAACTATTGTTGTATATAAAACAGAGGAGATAAAATTAGGTATAATATTGATAGACTAGTATAGAATATTTATACTAAATATTGAAAATTCCAAAAGGTCTTATTAAAGAATAAGAATTTGGAATTGTAGACATTAACTAAATTATATTTCCAATACCATCCCTTAATTTAGATATTCTATTAGAAGCTAACAACACCAATTTCATCTCTCAAGCGAAGAAATTGATCTGTTTTAACTGCCTTCGTCATAAGATCTGCTAGTTGTTTGAGTGCTGCAGTGCAAAACTTCTAACACTCCTTTCTGCACTTGACTTCTGAGAAAATGATACTTCGTCTCAATTTGCTTGCTTCTTCCATGTAGCACTGGATTCTTGGCAAGATCAATTGCAGACTTATTATCAATCATCGGCTTTAGAGGTTCCTCAACTTCAACCTTCAGATCATGCAAGAGATTCAGAAGCCAAACAGCTTGACAAGCAGCTACAACACCTGCGATATACTCAGCTTCACATGTTGACAGAGCCACGACAGGCTGTTTCTTGGAACTCTAGGAAATGGGACCTCCCAGAAATTTAAACAAGTATCCAGAAGTACTTATCATGTCCACTCTGTCTCCACAGCAGTCAGAATCAGAACAACTTACTAATTTTGGTTATGTCTTTCTTTTAGAAGGAAACAACACTCCATATTTCAGGGTTCCTTTGATATATCTTAGAATTCTGACAGCAGCTTGGAAATGAGACCACTTTGGATTACTCATGAATCTGTTAACCAATCCAACTGCATAACAAATGTCAGGTCTAGTATTGCATAAATACCTTAGAGAACAAACCAACTGTTTGAAGGTTGTAGTATCAGCAAAATCACCATCAGAGTCAGAATCTAATTTTTGATTGGTTTCTGATGGTGCCACAGCAACCTTGCAATTTTGCAGCTTAAATCTCTTCAGAAGTTCTAGTTCGTACTTCAACTGATGTAGAATGATACCCTTCTTCGATTACATAATCTCCATCTCTAGTAAATATGTCATATTTCCTAGATCTGTCATCTCGAATTCATTCATCAGAACTTCTTTGAATTTCTTTATATCTTCTGGGCAGCTTCCTGTTAGCAAAATGTCATCAACATAGAGAAACACCATAATCATATTGTTGTCAGAGTGTTGCACATAAACTCCATATTCCATCTCACATTTCTGAAACTTCTGCTTCTTGAAAAATGAATCAATTTTTAGATTCCAAGCTCCGGGCGCTTGCTTCAGTCCATACAGAGCTTTATTCAACCTGTATACCATCCCTTCCTGATTCTTTTTCACAAATCAAGGAAGTTGTGACACATAAACTTCTTCTTGTAATAGACCGTTCAGAAATACTTCACATCCAGATGCATTAAAGACCGATTTCTATTTGCAGCTAAAGCAATCACTAGTATGATTGTTTCATGCCTAGCTACAGGCGCAAACACCTCAAAGTAATCTAGCCCGAGTTTATGAAGAAAACCTCTAGCTACTAGTCTAGATTTGTGCTTGCCAATTGAACCATCTGGCTTAAGTTTCAACTTAAAAACCCATCTAACACTGATGGCTTTTTTCTTATCTGGAAGTTTAGTTAATTTCCACGTTTTGTTTCTTTCTATCGCCTCAAGTTCTTCTTTCATGGCATTCAACCATTCTTTATTCTTGAGAGCTTCTTCAATGCCCACTGGTTCAGAATCTACTAACATGTCACACTGAATGACTTCTCCTTCAGAGTCAACTTCATTATCATGTAACATGTCAAAATCTACAAACCTTCTTGGTATGTCTGATTCTCTGTGGTCTTTGAGCTTGTTCTAAAGCTGCACCAGAACTACTACCTTCAGAGTTACCACCTTCAGAGTTTTCCCTTCCAGAACTATGATCACCACCAGATTCTGGATCATCATCAGCATCTGAATCAGAATCAGATCCATTGTCATAATCTTCTTCTGACTCATCTTTAGGATCTTCATAATCAGATTCATCTTCTGAACTTTCTAAAACATCTTCAGAGGCTAACTATGGTGTTGACACTACACCAGAATCTGATTGAGACTTGTTCCAATCCCATGTTTCAGACTCTTTCACCACAACGTCTTTGCTGACTTCAACTTTATTAGTTTCTGGACAATAAAGCTTATACACACATGTACTGTGGTACCCCACCAGCAACATTACTTTGCTTCTATCATCCAGTTTTTGTCTTCTAGCTTCTGGAACATGTTTGTAACAGACAGAGCCAAACAACTTCAGATGATTGACACTCTGCTTATCTCCAGTCCATTTTTCTAAAGGAACAACTTCCTTCAGCTTCTTCGTTGGACACCTGTTCAGAATATATGCTGATGTGGCAACAGCTTCTCCCCATAGCACGTGAGGTAGATTTTTTTCTTTCAGCATGCTTCTGGTCATGTCAAGCACAATTTTGTTTCTTCTTTCAGCAACACCGTTGTACTGAGGAGTATATGGAGCAGTAACCTCATGTTATATTCTATTCTCCTCACAGAACTTCTGAAACTCTAAAGAGTTATACTCATCTCTACCATCTATTCTCAGAATCTTCAACTTCTGACCACTCTGCTTCTCAACCTTCACTTTGAACTTCTGGAACTCAGTAAACACTTCATGCTTGAATTTGATGAGTGTTACCCATGTCATTCTTGTGAACGCATCCACAAAAGACACAAAATATTTGTTTCCTCCAAGTGAAGGTACTGGAAATGGTCCACACACATCAGAATGTACTACTCCCAGAGCATGCTTCGCTTTGGGGGCTACTTCTGATGCAAATGGCAATCTGGGTTTCTTGTCTTTCATGCATATCTCACATGACTTCTCAGGCTTCACAATCTTAGAAATACAATATACAAGCTTCTTAGAACATATATGCCTTAGGCTTCTATAGTTCAAGTGCCCCAATCTCTTATGCCACAACTTACTATCACCTTCAGCCTTTTGCACTAAGACACGTTGCTTCAGCTGTTTCTACATTCACTTTGAAAGTTCTATTGCTTCCTTGTTCAGACTTCATAATCAACTTCTGATTGGAATCATACAACGTCAAGAGATTGTTTTTCATAACAACTGAGAAACCTTTCTCAATCAGCTGACACACGCTCATCAGATTTCTTCTAATACCAGGAATATATCAAACGTCTTTGATCAGAATGTCTTTCCCATTCTTCACTCTAACTCTGACATCTCCCATACCTTCTGCATTAAGATACTTATCGTCAGCACATCTGATCTTTGTTCTCCTTCTGGAGTCAAAGTCTGTCAGCCATTGTTTGTTTTCAGTTGAGTGATTTGAACAACCAGTGTCCATATACCACCAATCTTCTGAGCATTTTTCATCAGAATCAGAAGCCATTAGTAGCACAGGTTCATCATCAGAGTTTCTTTTATCCATATACACTTCTTCTGATTTCCTTTCCTTGTTTGACCTACAATCTCTGGCAAAATGGTCAAATTGTTTACAAGAGTAACATTGAACCTTCCTTTTGTCATACCTCTCATTTCCTTTATGATATCTCTTATCATCAGAAGTTGAGGTTTCAGACTTCTGGAATCTATCACCACGTTTATTCTATTTATGGTCTTTCTTGACAAAAGAAGCCTTCAGAGCTTGCTCAGCTTCCCTTTCAGAAGTTCTCTCAGATAGATGTAAATCCTGTGCTTCTAAGCTGCTTTGCAATTCTTCTATTCCCATGGTTTCCAAATCTTTAGAATGTTCAATAGAAACAACAATGTAATTAAACTGAGGAGTAAGCGACCTCAGAGTCTTCTCTATGATTACCTGTTCAGACAGAGTTTCTCCACACGTCTTCATCTCGTTACTGATCAGAATCACTCTGGAGATATATTCAGCAACTTTCTCACTGCTCTTCATGTTCAAGTTCTCATATTGCTTTCGCAGGGATTGAAGCTTCACCTTCTTTACTGATGCGTCACCACCGTAACATCTCACCAGTAAATCCCACGCCCCTTTTGACGTTGTTGAATCAGCAATCTTTTCGAACACACTTTCATCCACACACTGATGGATATAGAACAAAGCTTTATGGTCCCTCTTCCTCATAACCCTCTCAGCAATTCTCTATTCTTCAGTTGCATCTGCTGCAGCTGGTACATAATCATCTGTAACCAGATCCAGAACATTCTGCGCACCAAACAACACACGCATTTGTATCGTCCATCTGTTCTAGTTTTTGCCATTAAAAACTGGGAGTTTGGTGTTCAAACTACTGCCTCCACTCATTTTAAACCTTGCACAGATTTTTCAGATCTTCACACACACTGTTTCCCAATCCACAGAATCAGATTCTGTTTAGATTTTGTTCAAGATTTCAACAGAAAATCAATGAACCAAAATCAAACACACAACTCACAATCACTCGTGTTTTCCAGGAAAAACATAACCAAGTGCTCTAGATACCAATTTGTTGGTGCAAGATAATGAAGTGGGAAAAGAAGAATGAACAAAAATGATAACAAAACTACTGTTGTATATAAAATAGAGAAGATAAAATTGGGTACAATATTGATAGACTAGTATACAATATTTATACTAAATATTGAAAATACCAAAAAGCCCTATTAAAGAATAAACCTTGGAAATTATAGACATTAACTAAATTATATTTTCAATACTGAACACTTGTTCACGAGCTGTTGTAGTTTTTCTTGGTGACTTTATTGAAGGATGGTTGATTGAAGATAATGACTGGAGTTTCTATACAATAATGGTTGTGGGATCTTTTATTCATTACATGGAGTTCGTATACAAAAAATGAATATTCTTAGCGCTTTTGGAAATTAAACATCTTGATTGATATGGCAAAGATTAAAGCAAAAGCTACTGGAAATGCAACACTAACAACAGCAACAACTCCTAGAAAATCATGCTTGAACCCAAAGTAATCTCTCAAAAACTCTTCCACTGTTGTTATTCCTCCATCACTTGATTCAATCTTGTATTCTACATCTCCATATTGTGATACCAACAATCCATACAAACTCCAAGCCATTGGATTTTCCCAACAGTACCATCTCCACCATACTGGAATTTTCTGTTAGCCCAAGCAATAAAAAAATACAGTAAGTTAACTATATATTTACTTGCTTACAAAAACATGAAAAAAATTAAGGTTACAAGGTCAGACTCAGAATCTTAACACTAAATTGGCACTTGAGATAAATAAAACATGAAAACTTACTGGTCTTGGGACTATGAATCCTGAGAAGAGATTCCATAGAGAATAGAATGCAGAGGAAACTATACTTGAAATGTGGCTGTTTGGAGTCACAGCCACAAACATCATGCCAGAGAAGGTGTAGTTGAGGAAGGTTAAATACACAAAGAATAGGTACCAAAAAACTTTAGCCACAGACCACTCGAAACCAATCATAGGATAAATTATAAATCCATAAATCACAGCTTGTACAAAAACATATGGAAGCTCGATTACAACCTGCAATCCAAGACAAGATTTAGATGCATCTAAGATGATATTGAAGAAGTCAAACGAAGGAAAGTTTTAAAAATAAGGGATGCTTTCCTGAGCAAAAGCATATGGAAAAGCTGAGTACATTCCGGCAGCTCTTTCTCTATAAAACACCGTTCTTTCAACGGCAACCACTGGCTGGACTGCATTAGCATTCTTGAAGCCAACCAAGAGAACAGTGACATACATGGAGCCCATGGCATTAAAAAGATCTTGAACCTTAATGCTGCAATAATTTGATATGTAGTTTTAATGTTAGATCCAAAAAACGATATACAAACACAAGCGCTTAAAGCTGTAAAATGTTTCCACTTTGATCATACATTTTGGGGCCAAGGTTCCAAAACATGGTTCCAAGCAAAACAGCTAAAATAGTTGAGTACAAAAATCTTATAGCACTGTATATAGGATTGCACCAATAAGACCGGTGTTGTTTCCATAAGCAAGTCATGCATTGTGTAAAAAAGGATCTCGAGTATTGTGAACGAAAATAAAGATCCGTCGAACCAGGAGCTGCAGTACTCAATTCTTTGATAACTGCTTTGTTTCTCCTGAAACAGTTAAAGTAGAGACTATAATCCAGTGACTAGTTCTGTAGTTTGATTTTGTTTCGTATAACTGAAAATACCTGTATATATCTGAATTTTTGTACGCATCTGCAAAATCAATCTCCAATTCCAATTCTTTTAATGAAGATGTGACTTCAAACATCCATGTTGCTGGATTATACCCGTCTTTAATCTGGTTAACCCCTTTGATTCCCTTCAACACAAAAGTGTATGCATTATCACCTTGAAATTTTAACAAGATAATTATTTGAAAAATAAAAAAAAATTCAGTATTCAATATATTTTCTACTTACCTCAAAGTAACGGATTAAATTGGAAGAATGATGTCCAAGTGGCCCCACATATATCTCTTTCCCTCCTTGTTTTAGTAGCAAAAGCTGCATTTCATAATGGTAAATATTAGAAACTTGATAAAAATCCTAATTTCTTGAGACAGAAGATCCAATAATTCACCTCATCAAAAGATTCAAATATATCAATGCTAGGCTGGTGGATGGTACAAACAACTGTTCTTCCGGTGTCTACTGTGTTCCTAACTGTTCTCATAACGATAGCTGCAGCCCTTGCATCTAACCCAGATGTTGGCTCATCCATGAATATTATAGATGGATTAGCTACCAATTCAACCGCAATAGTCAACCTTTTGCGCTGCTCCGTTGAGAGACCACTTACACCAGGAAGTCCTACTAATGCATTTCGCAGCGGTTTTAGTTCCACGAGTTCCATAACTTCATCAATAAACTTCTGCAACCATTAGTCAGTTTCAAACGTGCAACATTTATAAAACTTCTTCAGTATTTGTTGAAAAAATCTCCAGTCATTCAAATACTAACCTTTCTGGATTCAGCATTGATCTCTGGGGACAAACGAAGCCACGCTGAATAGAGCAAAGATTCATGGACAGTGACATTAGGAGAGTGGATATCGTTTTGCTCACAATATCCAGAAATTCTCGCAAAGGTTTCTTGCTTCTTAGGATATCCAGAAATTCTGATGTCACCGCTTATATATCCACCAGTTTTTCTACCAGAGAGCACATCCATCAGAGTTGTTTTGCCAGCACCAGTCACACCCATCAGAGCAGTCAGAACACCTGGCCTGAAAGCTCCACTTACACCATTCAAAAGAACCAACTTATCCTCAACAGCACCCCGGTTTCGCATTTGCTGCAAGTTCATTTTAAGTAATTGATAATCTTTTCTTCACAATAATGCTTTGAAAGTTCAATATGATCTTTTACAACTGTTGGTGTAAAGATTTTAATACGGTTAATCAATTAATTGGCTGACCAGTAAAAATTATACACTGATAGTGTATTTTAATTAAACTCTTTACTTATTCGGCTTCTACATTACCTGTGGCATGTCTACTGAATACGTTATTTCGTTGAAGGTGATTGAATGTGGTTCAAAAGGAAGAACCATTCCTCTTTTCGTGCTACGATTTGTCTCGACAACTATTTCTTGTCTACTGGATAAAGTACTAGGAGAGGTGCTTCCATTTATCACTGTGATGTTGCTCAAACGTTATCCATAAGGTGTTATGAGAACTGAAAAAATCAAATATTACTCATCAAAACATTACATGAAATTTAGTTGCTAGATGAAAGTACCTTCCATTGAGTGCTCTGAAAAAATATCCTTTATGCACTTGAATACACTAGTTCTTTTTCTGCTTTGAGATTCCTCTGATATGACAGTTTGATGCTTCCCAAATGCTGCATGATAAATTTTGTAGAATTAGTACATGAGCTTGTCTTACCATTTTTTATTATACATTTAAGGTGAAGAAGTCACTCACGTTTCAAGAAAGTAAGAGATAGGATATATCCAATGTTGAAAAGTAATGTATATACAATCAAAGCACCAACTCCTATCCAGTACCAGTATGACTCAGTAAAGAATCCACGAGATTTCAAAACTCCAACTCCCAGCGGCTCCGTTGAATTAGGAAGAACCTTTTCATTAGATTAGGTATGTTATTTGTTGAGTACGAATTGAACTCGATACCCAAGAGTTTAACATCCATATGACTTATATGTTAAGGAAGTCACATAAAAAGAACTTACATTTTTCCATTTATCCCCAAGGAATTCATTATTTACAATTGCATTTTGTGCATACATCATAGGTGATATCCAAAATCCCCATATTCACCCTTTCTTTATACTGTCTGTGAGCATAAAGCGAAGAAAAGAGAGGAGAACATAAATAAGACAAACACCGCGATTTTTTATTTGTTTTATATCAATCTTACCTTTTGATAGGATAAAACCACTCATACAAAAAAGGATGGCATTAATAAATGATCCAAATGTTAGAGCCACTGTCATATCTCTCCCTACTGCCGCAACAAGTCTGAATAATCCAGAAGCCATCTGGTGTACTAGTACAAGAACAAGGTATTGCCTAAAAAATCTGCATTTGGTAGTAGACTGTTAGAACAATAGTCTGGTTCAAAAGTAAAACGATACCAAAAACGCAATGAAACAACGTAATATTTGATCACGAAGTTCGGACATATCACTCTTACCTTTCAATATTTGGATCAAAACCAATGACATAGTAGGTAAGGAATACCCAAACAGCCACTTCCACAAAAGTCAGGGGAATTTTTAGGATCCATCCTGGAAGAGCATATATCCATGTAGGGAAAAAGAGGCATCCCCTTTGCTTGTAGAAAACCGGAAGCCTTGAAACTACCATGGAAACTTCTGCGACTCCGTTGAACATGATCACAACAACAGCATAGAACAATGCACCTACATATATGCCTCCATGAGCCACTGAATCTCTGTGCATCTCAGTCCGGAGAAAGATGGTCATCGCAATCATTGCCATTATAAATACCTAAAAGTAGAACATCATCAATAAAGGATTTGAATAATGTAAACAAGCCTTGCATTATATGATATATAAAGTGTTACAATACACCAAAAATGTTCCAAGTCGCTTAGTAATCGAGGCTAGAGGTGGTTTATAAACATCCCTACTCCTCAATCTACTAAGGCATCTTTTAACTGATGACAAACTTGTGAGGACTTGTACATAAGAAAAACATATTACATAATCAAATTTCCAAACATACTTGGCAAAACTTGAAGATGTAGACGAATGAATTGCGCTTCATAAGTAAGTATTCTCTTGATAAGCAAGCTTTTAACAATTCCAATTTCCCCACTCCATATTTCTTGGTAGCCAAAGCAGCTGGATGGCTCTTAGACTTGTCAAATTTAGTACCAAGTTCATCACCAAGTCTTATGCCAACATGAAATGATTTAAATGCCTCTGAAAACTCTTCAGATGTCACAAATCTATAAGGCCGGTCTTTGTGTTCCCAATACTGCTCTTGATCTTTCTTTGATGTCACCTATAACATTCAAATTTTACTATTACATTACATAGTATAAATTATAAAATCACTTTCCAATAATGACAGAAAACGCAATGAAACTCACTTCTTGCAAAAAATCTGCCACTCCTTTCCTCTCAGGACATTTAAAACCGAATGACTCGAAAAATTCAAGTATACGATCCAGGGGACCATGATATATAATGTGGCTATCAGAGAGTAGAACAATGTCGTCGAAAAGATTGTAAGTCTCTGGTGGTGGCTGCAGGAGTGAGATAACCGCAGTTCCTTTCATAATGTGGACGTAATGCTTCATTGAATTCACAATTTGAAAAGTTGTTGAGCTATCCAAACCAGTAGATATTTCATCCATGAATAGAGCTTTATTCGGACCAACCAACATTTCCCCTACATTTATACATTCATAATAATCAATTTATTAACGTGATTAAGGACCGGAAGAGAACTGACAAATATATACATTTGTCTTTGTAATTTTTTTTTATTAAGCTGGTTAATCGTGATGTGTGTTAAGATTGAAATCAGATTTGCTTTACCTGTTGTAACGCGTTTCCTTTGTCCACCAGAGATACCTCTTAACATTGCATTTCCTACAAAAGTATCAGCACAAATCTCTAGTCCCAAAATCTGCAAATGTATAGCAAATAAACAAGAGACTTTAAAAAACATAATAACATGACTACAAAACACAGATGGTTTTGAAACTATAAATTAGTTTTACCCTCAGGATATAATCTGTTATCAAATTTTCCTTTTGTCCTTCAGTTGCTACGGCCTGTGATCATTATGAATCAAAAGGACAACCATTTTATTATCAGTCATTTCTATTTGAATGGACAAGAAATGGACGGTCCTCTAGGTATAAAATAACCTTTATATTACCTTCATGTAGACATCAATATCTAGGTCAGGCTTGATATTTGCAAGTTTTTCTTTTCTCAATAATTCTGCTAGCAAGTCTGCATAATTTATGAAAACAATTTGACTGCATTTTATCTTCTTCTATAAAAATATTTTATACATAGGCATTTATATGATAAGCGTTTACTTAAGCTATTTATCTAAACAAAACCTTAATACTCCGTCTTATGTTTTCAATAAGCTATTTATATGATAAGCATTTAATTAAGCTACTTATCCAAACAAAACCTTAATACTTCGGCTTAAGTTTTCTATAATGAATATAAGGAAAAAGCAAAATTGAAGACTAACCATAATGCGGCCCAACTCCTTGGACTCTTGCTGAGAAGGCCAAGGTTTCTCTGACAGTCATTTCTCCAACATGAAGATCATTTTGATCCACATAAGCACAAGTTCTTTGAGGCACAAACTCATTCATCTCATGACCGTTATAAGTCACCTTTCCAGAAAACTGATCATGAAGCCACCCAATATTACCAAGCTAGATCTAAAATATGAAGAAAAAAAAAGATGATATAAGATGCGTGTTCTTGTATATGTACTAACCTTCAGATTTGGATCAAGTTTTCCAGCCAAGGCCAACAAGAGTGTGGTTTTTCCAGAACTTGGAGGGCCTAAAAGCAATGTCAATCTGAAAAGAACCAAATTGAAACATGTTATATTTGTTCAAGAAGTCCTAAGAGAAATCAATGAAAAGAACAACAATTATATATTGATACCTTGAAGGCTTTATTATTCCACTAACATCTTTAAGAATACTTAGATGTTGTTTTCTACTAGGCAGCACATGAAGAGAGTTCAATAGTACCTTCAAAAATCAAATTGTTTAGTTAGAATCACCTTCAATAAAAAATCACATAGCAAGCTACTATTTAGAAAACTTTGATACTTTACCTCAACTACATTAACCATGAAGTTAGAGAAGGTGGGCAAAGATTTGCTTCCTACATGAGCTTCTGCTTCAATATTCAAGTGATTGAATCGAACTTCTATCGTAGGAAGATTAATTCCAACTCTTAAACCATCCAATGAAGAAGACAAGCATGATAAGGAAATAAATCATTTAAATTCAAAAGCATATCTTTCAAAATCAAAATGAAGAAAAAAGAGTTTGAATTCTAAACCTATCTATTCGATCTTTGATTTTGAGCAAAAACTTCTCATTGTCATCTTCATCAAGGTTAACAAGTCTTTCAAGCAAATCTTTTCTTTCTTGCAACCCAAGTTTCTTGACATCGATCTCAACGGCTTCCCCTTGAAGTGAAGTGAGCAAACTTTTCCTCATACGTGCAAAAGTAGGAAGTTTCTGAATTGCAGCCCATTTAAGAGCTTCTTCATCATCTTCTTGGTGGAAAGAATTTGAGAAAATTTCATCAGCATCATTGTTCTTCCAAATTGACGAACTACCACTCCTAAAACTACCTCCATCCTCCATCATCCCACCACCACAATGCAACAAAAAGTTGTATCCTATATTATATTTTGATGTCAACTCCGACTCTATAAATTTAAATTTTTCCTGAGTTTAAATGAATGTGAAACAAAAATAAAGAATGTTGAGGTATATATATATAATTTTCTTATTTATCAGTAACATACTCGAGATTCAACTCATCACAATATTTTATTTTTATTATAAGAAATATTTTAAAAAATAAGAATTTAAAATTCATTTTGAACTAAAAATTCTAACAACACAAAAATCACTCCAACTAAATATATTTAATTAATTGAGTATATTACTCAAAAGACAAAATCAAGCATTGAATTTTTATTTGAAGTTATAAGTTCAAATCCTAACAAATACAAAAATATATTATTTCGAATATAATTTTTTTAAAATTAAAATAAAAAAATTTATAATTTAATAGTCATTTATCATTTATATAAAACAATTATACTTTTTGAGAGACAATATAAATTTACACCAATAAATTTATATTTAAAAAAATTATTTCAATTATTTCAATTACATAAAATATATAAAATATAAAAAAAAAATAGATTAAACACAACTCATATTCTAGTTTAATTTTAGATCTGTTGAGCTACTTGTTATTAGGTTTATGCTATTTATTTATACACTCCATTGCTTGCAATAATACTAAATAGTCAACTGTTTGCAAAATATTATCTTAAGCCAAAAATATATTGTGTTGAAAAAAGAATCATGACACGTATACTAAACGTTCTCGAGCAAAATTAATTTAAAATTTTAACAAACAATTATAAATGAATTACAAGAAACACACAATTTGTGACCTAACGATTCATTCACATACAATCTCAAAATATTTCTTAAAACTTAAATTCTTAAAACTTAAATTTCAACTAAAGATAAACTTAATCCATATAATAATGAATCCTATAAATTTTCTATTGTCTCAATCCATATAATAATGAATCCTATAAATTTTCTATTGTCTCTTTCTTCAGAATTAAATCCTCAACACATAGTTATGGGATTATATGCAAGTTGTAATAATTCACATAAAAGTCAAATGTTAAAAATAAAAACCACACACACTTATGAAATAATTAGGTTAAACAAATCATAAATGTAGGAGCCTTCAATTTTACAATTATTAAAGATAACACAACAGTTTTTATAAATAACGTAAAACTATATATTCTTAATATAAGTCTCCAAAACATATAAAATATAAATAGTAGAGAAAAAAAGTGATGTATTGTCAACCTAAAATATTTTTTATACGGTCAACTAATCATTATTATATATTCAATTAACTCACTTATTTATTTATTTTTTAATAATATAGTAGATCGATAATTTTCTATTGAATAATAATATAAAACTATTTTATATTATTGGTGCATATTTATTAAATTCTAAATAGTATTCATAAACCATTTTTTCTTTTAAAACTACTTGTATGGCAAGCATTACCCATTCATGGAAATTCAATTCCTTAATTTAAAAAACAAGTCACTTAATTGATGAATATTAATTTATACCCTTATAGTAATGTTAATTTAATTCAAATAGAACACCTCTTCCCTCTTCCCTCTTCCTTTTCCTTGCAAGTGTGCCTATATTTATTCTAGAGGCACTACAAAAAAAACAATTTTTGGCAGCGCATCTACGAAAGCGTTTTTAAGAGAAAGCGTTTTCGTAGCCTTTAAAAAAAATTCGCTTAAAAAAAGCGCTTTTATACGGTTTCCTACGAAAGCGCTTTTCAGAAAGCGCTTTCATAGGTATTTGAAATATCTAACCTACGAAAGCGCTTTTGAAAAGCGCTCTTATAGGTGGCCCTATAAAAGCGCTTTTCAAAAGAGCTCTGAAAGGGGGACCTACGAAAGCGCTTTCTAAAGCGCTCTTATATGGGGGGCATACGAAAGCGCTTTTTACCTCAGAAGCGCTCTCATATGGGGGGCATACGAAAGCGCTTTTAAAAGCGCTTTCGTAGGTTGTTTTTATAATTAAATTAAAAATCCCTAAATCTGATATTTGCCCTCAGATTCGTTCGTTCAGTCTTCTTCATTTCTGCCGTCTTCGTCGCCGCCGCCGTTCGTTCCGTCTTCTTCAGTCGTCGCCGCCGTTCGTTCCGTCTTCTCCATCTTGGTAAGTTTCTTCTTCTTCCATTATCTTCTTCCATTATCTGTTCATCTTATATTAAACAAAAACCTACATCTTGAACAAGCTTAACCTACATTTCTGTTTCGCCTTAAATTGGTTCAATGAAATTCATTGTTGTGTTCTTGGGAGTTTTGGGCTAGCTTTTCTTCCAGTATTGATTATGAGTAATGTTTAAGGAGGGATGGTAAATGTTGCTTCCACGGCCAAGGTTTAGTTCCAGTTAACCATAGAATTAATTATTAGATTTGGACGGTTCAGATTGGCTTATGCATGATAACTTTGGGTATTGGCTGCGTGAAAATGGAGTTTATTGGGGATAGTTAGTCTCATTGTTAGATGGTATGATTATTTTTATTAAGGAGTGGAACAAGGACATATTTGGAAAAAATTTGTTTATAAGGTGATGATGATAATTAGGAATGAAATTATGTTGGATGTTCATGAGTTAGGTTAAACTTTGGATTGTTGAATTGAACAAAGTTTTAATTTCATGAGTAAATTTGACATTGAATTGAATATTGGGGTGTGATTCTTGAAGTTGACTTGTTAAACAATTATATGATTCTTGAATTGTGTTGAACTTTGTTCTTGAAAATTCATGATATATTTGAATTATTGAATATGCATAAGTCTTGATTTCTTGAACAGTGTAAAAAGGATGAAAAGAGGAATAGGTTGATTGATGAGTATCTTTGTTTTAGAACAAGAGTCTAGAGTATAAATGTTAGATTCATGTTAGTTCATGGCTGTTGGTATCAAATCATGGTGAATTGGTGAATTTGATGTTGAATCCGGATAAATTTTGTTGATAACTTTTGGATGTCGAATTATACCGGAACTCTTGAATACCTTGTCAATTGAACTTTAAAATTGTTTGATGCCTATTCTTGCATTTTGTTACGTTTGTGGATTAATGCGATTGAGTTACACCGTTTTTGTTGAGGTTTTTCAAGCCACTCTTTATTGAGGTATAAGGTTGTCCGGTATTAGAAGACCATGAAAATTGTTCAATTAATTATTTCTAATCGTTTAGAATAGTTTGTTTTGGTAATTGTCAAACACCAGTACCATTTCAATTGATTTCAGAACTAATTTTATGTGCGTTTTTGTGAATAAAATATGTTGTCCGGACTTGGTTCCATGTACATATTTCGCCTTAATTTTCCGTTTGACATTTATCCGCATTTAATTGAATCTTTCGTGAATGTTAATGCTTAATTTTCTTGTTTCCGTTAGCAACTTCCGATTAACTTGTGTTATGATAACAATGCTGCCCCATTTCTAGTCTGAGTATCTTAAACCATTTCATCCTATTTCCATATGCAATGTGATATATGAACTTGTTACTAAAAATATGGTGAATCGTGTGAAGCATTTATTTAATAGTATCAGTTCATCGCATCAACCTTATGTTGACTTTGTGAATTCACTATTTCTAATATTTGTGTTGTATTATTGTCATAGCTTTCCCAAACATTGAAAATATATATGTGACATTTATTGTGAACCTTTATGTTAAAATAGTATATATCTTTCGACAATCGATCCGAAATATTGAATAACATTCTATGAAATTGCAGCGTTTCCCGGCCTAGTTCGACGTACGACGCTCATTCTCCGTGTTTCTTAGAGTTCGAAACATCTGAGAGGTAACTTTCTTCCTCAAATTACTGGTATATATTGTGATGAATTTGTCTTAAATTGTCTTTCGTATGTTGCATTTTCTTGATACGGATTCATTCCGTGTATACTTTGCGTTTTGACTGAAAATTTGTTATCTGACATCTTAGTTTTTTGAAATATTTAGGATTGTTTTATTTATGTTTTGCAGTAGGATCTTTTGTGGCATGGCCATCAGACCTCATCTGCATAGATGATCAGGTATGTTGAAAACCATTATGAATCTTTAAGTATTCAACTGACAGTTCTGACCTGAATTTTATACATGGTAATTTTAGACTCCTGCAAAACCCGCATCTAAGGATAAAGGGATTTTGCAGCGCGGCGAGTCTATTGCATCGCAAAGACAGGTACTTTTATAGTGTTTCATTTATGATCGGAATAAAAAACTGCATAACTTTGTATCTTACATAATTCTATATGATTTTTAAGGTACCTTCTCAAGATCAGTCACAACAGGTGAGCCAGAAAGGTAGTAGGGTTCCACCTAAGAAGAAGGTTCCTGTCCGTAAATTTGTGCCTAGGTATCGACAGTGTCTGGAGACACTAGTTGGCACATCAGATTTGATGAATGATGGAATTCGTCAAATCGATGTGGATGAAATTGTCTTTGGTTTTCCATGTACCGAAACAATTGGATTAGAGGACATGGAACAAATCTTTCATCATCGAGAGTTAGGCATCAGTGTGATGCACTCGTACATCCGGTAACCCGATCAATATATTATTTAATTGGTTGAACATTTTTTTTAAACATTTAATTGAAATAGTCTAATATTAATTATGTTTTTATTTAAGGATGTTATTTGACAAATTGATGCGCGGGAATCAATTGTCAAATAGATTCCGTTTCGTGTCTTCCTCCCGTGTTAGCGGAGCAACAATTTCTAGGGAACCTGATTCAGTAAGAGAACACTTGGTCGAAAGATTCAGGACAACTGCCAGTACAGAGAGCTTGTATCTTTTGCCTTATAATACAGGGTTAGATTTTCATTCTAAGCTCCTTTTAATATTTGTATTTTTTACATTAAAATTCGCTTCTAAATTGTTGCTTTAATTTATAGATGTCACTGGTTGTTGCTTGCAATCAATCCCATAAAAGAAGTGGTCTATTACCTGAATTCGGTTGACGGTGATTGGACAAATTATCCGGAAATGAA